ACAGGCTCTGAGCCTGCTACCACAGCATGAGCTTCACTGCCTCTGCAAGCCTTGCACTCCCTGCTTCGTACTATTGTGTAGGCATCTTCAAGAAAAGAGGAAATAAAACAGGATTGGTTTTAAGTATTTGGTGAAACCGTAGCAGGAAAGGACAAGATATCAAGGCAAAATCTCAGTGTTAACTGGTCAAGTTTCACTGAGATGAGAGAATTATACCCATTTAAAGCAGTCACCAGTCCTGCAGACAGTCATACCAGGCCATAGTGTCCTGGTTTTGTTATGGCAACTCGAAGACCCACTGTCAAAATGCCTAGCATAGCAGCTCTGATAGTGAAAGCTGATCCTGGCAGCCCTTGTTCAAGCAGCACAAAGGGGAGTCTAGCCGAGACCCCATCCCTGGGGAAGGGGTCAGGTGGCACCATCTGGAGCTCCACACTTTCTTCCTGCCACCACTGTGAAGTATCCCACTTTTCCTTGGCTCTGGGAGTTGTAGGAGAAACCATCCCGCATCATTCTCCACTTGGAAAATGCCAGTTTCAGGGAGCTTCCTGAGTTTTTAACAGGCTTATTTTGAGCACAACAGGCACTGGAACCACTAACATGGGAAAGGTACTTTGATCGAAAATACTTTTTTCATTTAGCATTGTTTGGAGATTAAGGCATATAATCAAACAACTATAAAGAAACTGCATTTTCTGAATAGTCTAGTTCTGTCTATAATTACAGTCCAGCATTTTATCTTCCAAAAGCCTATCACTGGGTGATTATTAGCAGTAACAATGCTGTGTGCTACTATCATTAGGAAAACTTATCATTACACTTTTACTAATCATCGACTAATAAAAACAACCTTTGGGAAAACAGCGATAGCAATTGCTAGGTACAATGCCAGAGTATCTGGTGATGCTCCTCAAGATAAAAAGCTTCTAAAGTAGGGGGGATTGTTTACTTCCAGGGAGTTGTTTGCATCTCAGGCTTATTTTTATCAGTTAGCCTAGATAGAAATTTTAACATGTTCAGGCTTAGCTAGACCATCTCTCCGCTGACTTTCACATTGGCTCTGAAGGTGGTCAGCATCTTACTATTATCTGAAAAGTAGCTTTGTTTAAATTCCATAAAATGGCAACAAATTTCTCCATGCCACTTCCTTTAGAGGAGCTGCCTTTTTGCACGCAGTCTTGTATCTGACTCCTGCCAGGATCAAGCCTGTAGTCAATAGCCTCCTTTGGACTAGAACTAATAGAAAGCATAGAAAAGCCCACAAATCCCACTCCTGACTTGACAGTCCATCTGGAAGTGTTTTCCCCATATTCTTCAGTTTAGCATGGAGGAGATGCTCCAGCTGTTAGAGCTGCGCATGTCGGGGTTGAAGGCAGCATCCCGCAGAGATGCTTCTCCACAAGTACACAGGCAGGACTGCACCGGCCACCCAGGAATAAAACAGCATTTCAGGAGCTCCATTAAAAGCCACACTTACCCACTTCATCAGTGAGAACAACCGGAGAGTAGTGCCTAGGAAAGCCTCGCGATGGCAGAGCTTTTATACAGTGGAAAAGTGCCCTAGGGGAGTGAGGCGGTTTGGCTGGGTGATGCTCTAATTGCCTGCCAGTCCTGGCCGAGCCACGTGCAGCTTAACACCGGTGGGAATGGCTGTCCTCACTCTGTGAGGCTGCCATCGCGACGCGGTGCTGCTGGGACATCCTGTTAGTTCCGTCACGGGGAACCTCCTGATCCAACATGCTGAGCCAGCGAAGGCCAGGGGCCACTCATGGCCCTCATGCTACGAAACCCCATGCCTGCCCATTGCAAATCCAGGCCAGGTAAAACACACCTTTCCACCCAGAAGATGATTGCAGTTGAGGCCACTGCCCAGGGTACTCTACATTTCCATGGGAGTTGCATGCACAAGTCCCTCTGGTGCCTTTGAAAGCACCGTCCAGGAAGGACTCTCAGCGACCTTTTTGCAGACCGTAATTACTGTGGCATGCAGACTTCCTTCACTTACACAGGGAATCCAGGAAAGAGACAGATGATGGGGACTGAGAAAGCCTTGGGCTAAGGGCAAGGCGGCTACCCAAAAGGACTTGCCACAAAGTGAATAACCTGCTGAAAGAGGTGACGCTTTTCCGGCACAACAAAAGGGAGAAGGGACGAGCAGAAGCACTGGGGCAGCCAGGGGAAAAGCGGCTAAATCAAACCAGGTTCATGTCCTGACAACACAAATCACATTTCTTGCTCTGCTGCACCACTCATCCCTCCTCTTGTTCCCTGTTTATGCCAAACATAATCCCAAGGGAAAATTAACAGTGGCATGAGCATAAGGGCCAACAGGGAATGCATTTTTACGTAGTCATATGTACATGAGCAAAGGCTCTGGCTTTTTAAACTTGTAATGCAAATCTGACATCTATGACTTGGGTTCCAGTATGCTGGGAATTCAGGTCAGGTCCCACACATTGAAATAAAAAGAGGTGAAAGAAGTTAACTTTTAATGGAGTAGGTGGAAAATTTCTCAACGATATGAAGCACCAGGGATGCTGCTGTGTTGCCACTCCTGAAGATATTTAAAAGACATGTGGACGTGGCGCTTAGGGACATGATTTATTGGTGGACTTGGCAATGTTACATTTACTATTGGACCCAATGATATTAAGGGTCTTTTCTAACCTAAATAATTCTATGCTAGGGTAATTTGAAGCAGATAGACATTGACTTCTGGCTTATGAACTACTGAGTACATTTTCTATTTCTGTTTTCACCAGAAAATCCAGAAGCCTGAAGGTAGGTTTGTTATTTGCATTTCTGATTTTCCAACAAAAAAATTTCACTCAGTATCATAGAGAAAAACACAGATAAAGTACATGTTTTCCCAGTTGATGCCAACATTTCGAGAGCTACAAAAAACAGTGGAAAGAATGCTTCCTCTAGGCTTATCCTATTCTTCAGAACTGATGACAAAACACCGAGTCCAACCTGGATTTCTCTAATTTTCATTGTGCTTCACACCCTTGAAATACAACGCCCATTTTAATGTTAAATGATCTGACCCAGGTTTTCAGGAATCAAGCTGGCACCAGAGCGCAGATTAATGAATTTTATAAGCTCCATAAACACAGTTCCTGGGCAAGCTCCAGCTCAAGTAGCCTTCAAGTAATGCTAGTATCCAGTTTAGTGTTTCCAGTGCAGGTAGCAAAATATTAACCCGATGATAACATCGTGCCCTGTCATCCAAATGCTCTTAATTAGCATCTATAAAGTCTTTTCATCTCAGAGAGACACATAGTGCCACATGGGACATTGTTATGTGGGGTATTATTATTCCCAATTAAGCACAGGGTAAACTGAGGCACACTGCACTGTGGTCACTTGGCACAGCCAAGTCAGAGCCAGGGTCAGAACCAGACTCCATCACAACAACCTCCAAAATGAGCCCAGTGCTCTGGTGTCCATTCCAAGCCTGTGAGATGAGGTCCTGCACCAGCCAGCTATGCACCACCCAGGAAGGTTTTACTAATGATCCCCTGGGCCCTGGCTTCTATGGAAAAGTCAAAAGGATGTGACAACTCCTCAGAGGGCCACAGCATTTCTCGTTTCTTGGTTTTAAAGGGAACACAAAACTCTGTGTTGTGAGAGCATCCCTGGATCTGCAAGGTGGAAGGAGTGCCATGGTCACTGCTGCTCCTGCATGCTGACTCTCTGAGCCAAAGTATTGTCCTGGATACTCAGGAGAAGCTGTGAAAAGGGTCAGCTCCCTCTGTGACCCACTAAGTACCCTGGGGAAGCAGCCAGACGCCATGTCAACAGCGCTAGGTGCTCAGGTCTTGGGCACGTCCTTGCCTTCAGAGAGCAGACCGTGGTGGCACCCCAAGGTCACAGAGCAAGGGTGGAGCGGGTCAGGATGCAGGGCAGCGTCCTGGCTCTGGTCACACCCTCCTCTTCCTCTTGCAACACTTGTCTTTGCCTTCCAAATATGCATGATCTACTTTGTGTGAGCTACTACTCATTTTCTTAATGATAGGGCATATTAGACAATTTCTGTATTTTTCAGACAGGAGTTCACTGTATTTCATAAAGAAGAACCACCAGAGGCAGGAAGACTAGATATTTAATCTGAGGTCAGACAAGTATATTTATTTAAGTATATATATGTATAATATAAGTATACATATATATGGTTTGTTTTCAGTACAGTGTACAGTACACATCTTTAGGCAGCAGGAAGAACATAGTTGTTCCCTTTTATAGCTCAAACATTTAAAATAGTCGTGCTACAACTTTCAGTGTTATTTCAAAGACTTACTTTTTTTTTCAAGTTGTGTTTTCTGTCTCATTTAAAGCAACCAAGTGACTAAAAACCTTCATGTATAAAATTTTAGCAAGGGCCAACTTCACTAAGCGAGAAATCCTGTCTTGTTTGGGTACTCTGCTGAAGCCAGCGCAGAGTTTTAAAGGAGCAGGGATTTCTGGCCGCCTTCCGAAATGAAGGCCATTAGAGTAAGATTCGTATACCGTTTGCTTAGCAAATTTACATTAGGCTTCCAAATCTATGAGTGAAAACAGCAGCCTCATGGAATTCAAGTTAAACCTGAACATTGCCTCCCAAGGCCAGGACCAAACCTGGAGCTGGGGACAGGCCAGCCCTCTGCCAGCCACACTGCCTCTTGATGCTGTCATGATCTGGACTCATTAGACATTTCAGTTTCTTCTTTTTTTTTTTTTTTTTTTTAATCACTATTCACTTCATTTAGGTGAGAATTTAATAGCATCCCACTAAACTATGCCTTGTAGCAGATTAAGGTACAAGCCACAGGCACCTGGAGCACAGCCATAGAAATAGTTTCGGACCCTGGCCCAAAATAGAGGGAAGTACTGAAAACCAGAGATAAAACAGATTTAAGCAATAGGAACTAGTTGGCAGGTGGTACAAAGAGATAAGTAACCCCTGCCCCAAAGGTGTACCTTGTTCTTTCTCTGTGGACCTTCGTTTCCCCTGATCCTTTTCACCAGGGCCATTTGGAAGCAGAGCAGTACTTTTTAGAGTGACTTGAAATTTTCACTCCACCCGACTGACATTGCTGGGGGACACACTTGGGTACGTACTGCTGCTGGGGGACACACTTGGTGGCACACTGCTGCTGGGGGACACACTTGGGTGCGCACTGCTGCTGTGGGACACACTTGGTGGCACACTGCTGCTGGGGGACACATTTGGCACACTTCTGCCGTGGGACACAAGTTGTCTCACACTGCTGTGGGACACACTTGGCACACTGCTGCTGGTGGACACATTTAGTCACACACTGCTGTGGGACACACTTGGTGGCACACTGCTGCTGGGGGACACACTTGGTGGCACACTGCTGCCGTGGGACACAAGTTGTCTCACACTGCTGTGGGACACACTTAGTGGCACACGGCTGCTGGGGGACACATTTGGTCACACACTGCTGTGGGACACAAGTATCACACTGCTGTGAGACACAAATGGTAGTATACTTGGTGGCACACTGCTGTGGGACACACTTGGTCACACACCTGGTTGCACACTGCTGTGGGGCACACGAGGTCACAAAGCGGTGTGAGACACACTTGGTTGCACGCTGCTGAGGGACACACGTGGTGACACACCTGGTCGCGCACGGCTGCTGGGGGGTGTACGTGGTCACACACTGCTGCGGGATGCACTTGGTTGCGCACTGCTGCTGCGGGATGCCCTTGGTCGGGTATGGCTGCTGTGGCACACACGTGGTCATGCACCTGGTCTCACACTGCTGCTGTGGAATGCCCTTGGTTACACACTGCTGCTGGGGGGCACAGGCAGTCACACACTTGGTTGCATGCTGCTGCTGTGGCACACACTTGGTCACGCAAGGCTGCTGCAACACAGCCTTGGTTGTACACTGATGCTGCGGCACGCAAGTTGTTACGCACCGAGTTACACATGGTTGCTGTAGGATGCGCTGGGTCACGCACTGCTGCGGCACACACTTGGTTGCATGCTGCTGCCGCGGCATGCACTTGGTCACACACTGCTGTTCGGAGAAGCTGGAGGACATGATCCGCTGCCGGGGGACGCAGGGGCTCACATACTGTGGGGAGCACAGTGTTGAGTGCCAGGTAGGCACTGGCAGCTGTCTGGCACCGTACATTGGTGGGCACTTGATGGAGATGGGGTCCTGGTAGATGGGAGGGAGGCACTGCTGTAAGTAGCACGACATCTCAGTGAGGCTTTGGCAGGACTGGAACGACACGTGAGAAAGCAGAGCCTTTAGACAGTCAGCCATCTCGGTTTCTTGCAGTCCTGCTGCTGCCCCTGCCACAGGACCATGGCTTCACAGAGTACTGGAGACACGTCCTGCCTATGCCACAGTCTCAAAACCATGGAGGCAGCAGCTGAGGATCCAACCCATCATTTTTAACTCTGAAACATGTGATGAAGTCAAATAGTGGGGAAATTCAGAGACACTAAGCACTAAATACCTCCCCAGACTGCAAGTCCCTCCCCATCACCTGGACCTTCCCAGGAGAAAACTGATCTTGGAAGTCAGCAGAGGGATGGCTGGAACAGTGAGGCACTGGAACAGGTTGCCCAGAGATGTTGTGGATGCCCCATCCCTGGATGTCTTCAAGGCCAGGCTGGATGTGGCTTTGAGCAACCTGGTCTAGTGCAAGGTGTCCCTGCCCATGGCAGGGGGGTTGGAACTAGATGATCTTTAAGGTCCCTTCCAACCCTAACCATTCTATGATTCTATGATTCTATGGCTGACCACAGAGCTGCCTTTCAATCATTAAATCCAGTTTTCCCCTCCTGCTTTCCATTGGCAAGTGCCTCTGACCTCTTGCTGATGCATCAAGAAAAAGACCTAACTTTCAGGCCAAGCTCTGAACCTCTGGTCACATTTGCCCCAGCAGGACAGCAAAAAGCACCCAAGGCGCCCCTGCTTGGTGATCCTGTCACACCACAGGCAAGCAGAGGTTCACAGCTAAGTCCTAGCATCACAAAGTTCATGCTCATTAGGGAACCAAAGCCAATTAAAGGGTAGCGATACCACAACTGAACACAAAACTGCTTGCAGCTCTTCTAGCATTATTCTTCCTGATAAATCAAAGCTGCTCTGACTGTTGTCAGGCACCCTCAGAAGCACACAACAGTAGCAGCATCCTAATTGCTGCTAACAACCTTTCCTCACATTTTTCAGGAGTATCTCTTGGACTTGTATGTCCAGCACCTGGGCAGGTAAAAACACAGTCCCACTCCAACCCAACAACTCCAACCAACTGGTTTTAAAAAGTTTTCCCATAGAGCATTTTCTATATGTAAAGCAACAGAAACAAATCTGCACTTCAGCAGCTACAGAGGCTCAGCGCAAACCAGACTTACCCAGCTCCCTGTTGAGAACAGCTTTGTGATGTGACCAGTGAGCTCTAATAGGAGCAGAGCTTTTATATAGCTACTAACCATGCCTTGAAGGTATGAGGTACCCACGACATACCCTATTAGCTCCTATGCAAAATCTGTCCTGTGTGCAAGACTCGTGGTGACTAGCATCAGTGTACTCATCCCTGAGGATGAGTAGCTTGGTGTCAGGTCCCCATAGTAAGAGTAATTACCTTTTGTATACTCCTCCCTGGCATGGTAAGACTGAATGGTATTTAGAGAGGCAAGCAGCAGTGGCATCCCCTGCCTCAGGGATTTTGCAAGGCAGAAGTGCACCCAAAAACATAATGTTATGTCTTTCCAGAGGTCTCACAGCTCCTGGAAATGTCCTGGTGGTCTCCAGAAACAGGGCCATCCCATCACTTGGTCTCATTCCGCACACACATGGCATTGGCTTAATGCCATGAGAGATGCACTGACCCCTCCATGTCCTTCTCTAGTATTAATCCCTGGTTAGAGCTGGCAGCGTTTCTCATCTGCCTGGTAACGCCCAGCAGCTGGCGTCGGTTCTGTGTGCAGGCAGGACACAGGGCTCCTCTGAGGGAAAACAGGAGCTCCTAGTAAAGTTCAAATCATCCACAGAGAATCACAGAATCATGGAATGGTTTGGGTTGGAAGGAACCTTAAAGAACATCCTGTTACAACCCCCCTCCCATGGGCAGGGAATCATTACACCAGACCCGGTTGCTCCAAGCCTCATCCAGCCTGGCCTTGAAGACATCCAGGGATGGGGCATCCACAGCTTCTCTGGGCAACCTGTGCCAGAGCCTCCCCACCCTCTCTGGGAAGAATTTCTTAGAATCATAGAATCATAGAATGGTTTGTGTTTGAAGGGAGCTTAAAGATCATCTAATTCCCCAACTTAACTTTTAGCTCAAATAGCTCTGGAGAGCACCTGGCTGTTGGTGTCCTGATGCTCCCATGATCTTAATGCAATCACCCTGTTATCAAAGCAATGGGAATACACCAGCCAGTGACTCGCAGGTGAGCGGAAAGATGAGCTACAGTCACGTTTGGTTGAAGCTCTTGCACAAACTCAGCTGTCAAAGCTGTGACCGGCAGCACGACAGGCCAGAAAAAACACCAGGAGCAGATAAACTTCCTCCAGTCCTGTGGTGACTTTCTCAGTGAGCCAACTTCTTTCCGCACTCTGCACCCAGATTAAAGAAACTAGTTAAAAAAAATGGGAGATTAGTTTTCTGAAGCCATTGAAGATCTAAACAATGCTTTCCTGTGTACCTTGTAACATAAAATGTCACTTAAAAGTGACAATTTCT